AGGCAGGATTTTTTCCCCCTGAATTTCTCTAGGTATCTAAACATGTAAGCCGGTGGCAGGCATTTTCTGTGGCTGAGATAGCCTTAAGACTTAAAAGAGGCCCAAGAACTCATTGAAAATGTACACTTAATACTCTGTATTTTCTGGCTCACAATGATAGAAAACCTCATTCTAAGAGTTATAAAAGAGCTCCTAGGATATGTGTAATTCTGATACCACAAGTTACCCGCTTCTTTTATTTATTTATATACATACACATACACATATACACATACTTACATACATACATACATACATACATACAGACAGACACACACACACACACACACACACACACACACACACACAAGATTCATTGAAGCATAGCATTCTGGGCAAAAGCCTTAGGCTCTCCAGCGTTTTTAAAACAGTATGTTGCTTTTACTCCTATATTAAGCCAGCGTTTATATTTTAATTTATATTCTTGGCCCACAATCTAATTCTCTGGAATAAGTGGGAGTAAATCTGATCCTAATCACCTTCAGGATAGCTCTTTAAACATTTGATGAGCACTCTTACTATGTCCTTAATAATTTGCATATCTGAAATCTTTCTACGTAAGTTTTTGACTGTAGATAATTTTATAAAATTATCCAGATATGTGGCTATGTTAAATTTTTTCAGCAAATCAATAAAGGCTAGCTTTGTGTGCTGGATGCACAAACTTGCCAAGGACATTTAGGCCTGTTAAAATAAGTACAGTATTCTTAAGACAAATCAGTGCAGGCCTAGTGTTATCAAAGGGTGGATTCACTCATATTATCCAATTGTTGAACTATGATTTCTTAAACAAGCCATTTGAGTTAATATACAATGTTAAAATAAGGGATAGTGTGGCTTAGTGGCTAAGACACTGAATTTGTCGATTCAAAGGTCGGCAGTTTGGCTGTTTGAATACCCAGCGCCCTATAATGGAATGAGCTCCCGTTACTTGTCCCAGCTTCTGCCAATCAAGCAGTTCAAAAGCACATTAAAAATACAAGTAGAAAAATAGCAACCATCTTTGGTGGGAAGGTAACACGCTCTGTGTGCCTTCAGCATTTAGTCATGCTGGCCACATGACCACAGAGATGTCTTTGGAAAGTGCTGGCTCTTCGGCTTTGAAACATTAATGAGCACCGCCCCCTAGAGTTGGGAATGACACATAGCACTAACCTATACAGTGATTTGTTTGCTTTGAGATTAATGTGATGTATAAATCCCCCATTTATGTTAAGTCTGGTTTGGCGAATTGTGTAAAAAATACCTGTGAGAATTTAAAACATGACCAGATTGTCAAAACAATTTCTATAGGATGTGATATATTCATGCAACAGATCAATAAGCTGAAAACTATAGATGATCATATGTACTAAGTCCCCATAACCTTTCTGTGGATAAATTGACAAGCCACAAGGAAATATCTTGCTCGTGTTTACACTTGCCTCACCCAGAAACATGCTTATGTAATGTAAAATGAGAGCACTTTTTTCCCTTCAGGCAAACATTGCAGAATGCATTTCTGTCCACCTCATGCTAATGAAATGTTTGCTAAAAAACCATCTGATTTATAACAACTCTAGTGCAGCCATTTTCTTCTGCCTTAATTATTGGGTGGGGAGGAATATGTGTGATTTCCAGTTCTTATTCATAGCTGAAGCATGGTTTGTTTTAATTCAGGTAATCCTCTACTTAACAATGATTCATTTAGTGACTGTTGTAATTTACAAATGGCACTGGGGAAAAAAGGCTTGCAACCGGTACTCTCAGGATTGTTGCATCTCCGTTTTCACATGATCAAAATTCTGGTGCTTGGAAACCAGCATGTACTTATGGCTGTTGCAGTATTCTGCGGTCATGCGATTACCATTTGCAATTTTCCCAGCCAGCTTCTCACAAGCAAAGTCAGCGGGGGGAAGATGGACTTGCTTAACGATCACTTAACAACTGCAGTGATTTGCTTAACAACAGTGGTAAAAAAAGGTGGTAAAATTGGGCATAACTCACAACCACCTCATTTAGCAAGGGAAATTCTGGTCCCAATTGTGATTTTAAGCCAAAGGACTTCCTGTTAAAAAGTTTGTTGGGTAGCCATACCGGTCAGATTCTATCTATCACACATGGCTGATGAATTACAAGTGCTGGATCCTCTGTGCTGGCAACAAATTGTTCACTTAGTGGTTTAGTGGAAGGAGGAAACTCTGACAACATTAATGTATGATTTATACTACATGCACAATAGCTTTATCAGAACTACACAAGACTGTGCAAATTTTTTCAGTTCTCTGGAACTGTTCCTCAAGAGACAGTGGCACAAACACGGGGGATGAAAGGAGAAATAGATGCATTCAGAGTTGAGCAAGAAGTAGCAATGTCCAAAAATAAGACCAGGTCATGCAGTGTTGCTTAATATGTCTCTGGAGAACCCTTAGTTTATGGAAGGGACAAGAGAAGCGTCTAAATTTCCGGCATCCCTTACTGTTATAAGCTGCCCAGAGTTGCCTTGTGGCGAGATCAGTGACAAACAAATTTAATAAATAAGCAAACCTTTAGTCCTGAAATCAAAAACTGAACCTCCGATCTGCTTCCTATTCCCCCAGCGGAAGATTTGTCTTCGAATTGTTTGCTTTTGCATTTCTTAGGCCTACAAAGGAAAAAAAATGTCCACTGATTCTTTGTGCCTGCCCTTCTTGTTGTGTTGCAGTTGGCAGCCTTGACCCATTTAACTCTCCGGTGGTTTAAAAATGCTGTTCCCCTCAGAGGACAGTAGGGGGCATTGACAATCTTGGCATCCGGGGGCCCAGGAGCAGAAAACTGAAATCCAGTAGAAACAGAAGTGAGATACCCAGAGAAGGTGATTTGGTAAGAGAGGATTTGTTTTTTGTTTTGCTGGTGGCAGGGAGGGGAACTGGAAATTTTGGAACTGGAGGATCTGCCAACCAAGTGCCTCTGAATGGGGGGCCCAGAGGGCTGGAAGGAGTTCAAAGAACAGAAAGTGTGTTGCAACTGAGCGATACCTCATGGATGGGGGTGGGGGCTGGCCCTCGGCCCTTTCTCCCCCCTCGCCCTGTGATCCTCTTGCTGTTCCTTGCTCTGCAAGGAATGTCAAGAGCCTCGTGTTTCACCTGCTCAGGTCCCTAGGCCTATATTTAGCCTGGCCAGCAAAAGGTCAGGAGTTGGGGAGAAGGTTAGTCCCGCCCCGCCCAGTGACTGCTCCCTCTTTTTATAGCCGTCCTCCGGCCTTTGCCTCTTGCCAGTCAGCAAGCACCCTCCGGAGCTGTTGTGTCTCGCCAGAACCCCCTGCTGTATCCACGGTATGGGATGGAGGGGAGGAAGGGAGAAGCTGGGATTTCGATCTTATAGTTTTAGAGGGGAGCAAGGCTGACAAGAGAGAAGTTGGCTCTGCTCTTCCATTTTTTCTCCATAGCAATGGAGCCTGGGTGAGTGGAACAAAAAGACTTCCCCGATTGCAACTCCCGGGGGAGGGGAGTTGCAATCGGGGGTTCTGGAAAAGATATGGGTCACAATGGCTGTGCTGGACAAATTGAATTAAATTATCTGCAGATCCACTGCGCAAGTAAAGTTCTTCCCAGGCTCAAAACTATCCATCTCTTATTTTGATTATCTTTTTAAAATCTTTCTTAAAATGAAGAGGGTTTTTTTAAAAAAAAAATTCTGTTATTTCCCCCCCAAGTTTTATTTGTTATATTTATATTCCACTTCCACTGAACAGTTTGAGATCTGGGTTTTAAACAATTAAAATCCACATATTTGTTATAATATTCATCACAATGCTATTAATAACTATATATCAATACAATAGTATGTAATATCTTCATCATTTTCTGTTATTTTTTGACAGCCAAAAGCTCTCTTTCAATCCTCNACAATCTTTGCATCCCCAGGCCAAGGAGCAGAAAATTGAAATACAGCAGAAACAGAAGTGATACTGAGAGAAGGTGATTTGGTAAGAGACTGTGGTGCCTTTAAGGCAGGACATAAAGCGAGATTTGAACATAAGAGTGAACATGATATGGGGTCAGACTAGAAGATCTCCTGGGAGCCCCTTCTATCCCTTCTATCTCATTATACATTTTCTAGTCTTGAAGAACAGGAAATTCAAATGTCAAACCACGAAAGCTAACACCTGCTGCAAGTACGTCAAGTCAGTTGGAGGTCTCGCTTGCGAGTCAGACATAGAGCTTAACCACACAAGTCAGTATGAAACTAGTGCTTCCTGCATGACACCTGCGGCCTAGACATGAAAGGGCAGCACGATATAAGCTGCTTAGCCAATAGAAATGAGTTAACATATTTCCGTGTTTTGATCCTTTGAACATACTAGAAGAACGTGTGTTTAGATTAGAACGCGGTTCAGATGTTAGAATTTGCTGTCTCTGTCTGAACTATTTGGCCAAATAAAGCTTCTCTTGATCTCACAGTCCAAATCTCCTGATGGTTTCCAAGGTGGGGTGTGGGAGGAGTCACTGAATGGGTATTGTTATGGCCCAATTTCCTGGAGACTGAGGTAAATCTGAGGACACTCCCTCTGTTCCTCCTGGTGACTCCCCAGATTAACCTCAGTCTTCGCCCTAACAGGAGCTATTCAGTGACTCTCCAGTGAATAGTACTTAGTTAGGATTTTTTTTGTAGTATTTTTTTTCCCCTTTTAGATTTTTACAGGAATTTTTCTAGCTTACCTTTTATCGTTTTGCCTCTTCGGCCTCGGTTTTACGCCCTTTGCCTGGCTGCCTATGCTCCTCCCGCGCTCGCTGCGGCCCCGCAACACCGGCACCCGGTGGAAGGGGGGGGCGAAAACCGAGCCTCCCAGCCAGCTGCTGTCCGGAGGAGAAGAGGAGGCCATCAGATCCACGAAGACTCCGGAGGCAGCGAGAAGAAGAAGGAGCGGTTCAGCCGGAACTGCTCTAGGAATTGGACCGCGTGACCGGCGGTCGCCATTTTGAGGCCTCGTGGGCACACGCATGGAGCGACAAAGCAACTGGTCTCAGTTGCTGCAGCTCCTCACCACCGCTAGAAGCTTCAGGATAGTCGGGCCAAGCTCTGAGCCGGCCATCCAGCGAGGGCCCAGCACAGAGTGGTGCAACGGTCTCCGTTCGGTCCGCAGGTTGGCGGATGGTCAGGAAGGGCCCGGATCCAAAGGAGCACCGGATCCACGAGGCCCAGGGAGACCAGGCCACAGAGGCAGAGAGAGAGAGAGAGAGGCAATTCACCACAACCATGAGTACTGCAATGGCAGATGCCACGCGGAGCAAGGGAGCCAGGGCTCTCAGCTCTCCAGGGCCTTCTGATCCGGGTGAGGGACCCTCCAGGGGGGCAGGCCCAAGGCCCAGGGGGAGATCACTTCCTAGGAAGTGCTCCTCAAAATCCTCCAGAAGGGAGAGGCCTAGGCAGGAGGCCCCTTCCACCAGGGCGACTAGCAGGAGGACTAGGAATTGCATCAGCCCCTCCCCAGCCAGGTCTCGCTCTCCCTGCAGGCCCCCTTCTTTCTCACAGACACCTGGCTTTCCAGGCCCAGAGAGATACTCGAGGGAGCGTAGTCCCTTGTCCCCTTCTCTATCCCTCTCACTCTCCGGGGGCGAGGGGGGACCCCTTTGTACGTAGGGCAGTGGGTTCTCCCAGGCAGTGTTTGACCCCTCAGGCCCCTGAGCTCAGGGACAACAGAGGCCCCCCTACCCTTTCCCCTGCCTACCCAGAACTGCCAGAAGGGTTCCAGAATGTACTGGCCAGGGCTATTGCAGATGGCATAGCCCCAGGCATGCAGCACCAGTTTCAGGGAGCCAGGCCCCGGTCTACCCGTGGGGCTCCACGGGATCACAAAGCCAGGCCTGAGTCTCCAGTCCACAGGGACTCACGAGCCTCATCACCTTCCACTGCCAGCGAAGGCTCAGAGTCAGGGGGGGAGGAACAGAAGGATTTGGGGTTTTCAGAAGATGACCCCTCCACCCCAGAGAACCCCTCCTTTGCAGGATTGTTCCCTCCCTCTTTGTTCAGTTCCCTTCTGCGCAAGGCCAAGGCCACAGCAGATCTGGATCCTCCTCGAGCCACTAGCCAGATCCCCACCCCTAGTACTAGCAGGGGGAAGAAGAAGCAGGCCCCATTTCACAGGCCCCAGGTTGAGAAGGAGGAGATCCCCACACCGGACCTCTTCCTGGAGGTTCTGAAGTCACAGTGGACCAAACTGGGTTCCTTCCCCACTCCTGGGACTAATGATCATAGATTCTACAACCTAAATGCATCTTTTAACCAAGCATTGCAGGTGCCTTCCGTGGACGCTCCAGTGGCAGCTTTGGCCTCCGCTTCCTCCATAGTAACAGGAGACATCTCCAGCTGTCTTAAGGCAGAGGACAGGAGAGCGGAACTGGTCTTGCGTAAGACCTTCCAGGGCGTCCCGTGGGCCATCAAGGCGGCGGCGACCGCATCCTCCTTCAATAGGTCCACCACCTTGTGGCTGGAGCAGATCCGGGACAGGACCCCTGCTTCAGATGTAAGACTCCAACAGGACATCACAAAGCTGCTGGCAGCGACCCAGTTCTCAACCGATGCAACACTGGATGTGGTAAAGTATTCCTCCAGGGCTCTATCATCTTCGGTGGCGTCCAGATGCCTTTTATGGCTTCGTCATTGGCAGGGTGATTTCTGGGCAAAGTGGCCCCTGGCGGAGGCGGAATACACAGGAGACTCCAAGCTCTTTGGACCCGCTTTGGACCCCATCCTCGTCGAGGATAAAAATAAAAGAAAGGTGTTCCCATCCACCACCAGACGCGCAGACCACTGAGCGGCGCCATATGCCAGGAGAGCTTCATACCGACCACCGGAGCAGGACAACCAGGCTCAAAGGTACACTGCTCCCAGGTACTCCAGACAAGGGGACAGGCAGTTCTCCAGGGAGAGGTTTAGACCCCAGCAGGCCGGCAAGGTATTACCACAGCCCTTTTGCCCTGGAGACTGAGGTAAATCTTGAGGCCACACCTCCGTTCCTCCTTCTGACCTCCCAGATTAACCTCAGTCTCCAGCCCAGAAGGAGTGTTTTACCTGACTCTCCCTCACTTTGAAGACTAAGGTTTTTTTCTACAGGATTTTTTACAGGAGTTCTTCAGATTTTTTACTAGTTNGGCTCAGCAGTGCCGCTGCACCGGCAGAGCCAGCCTGAGGGACGAGGGGCGGCCGAGCCTCAGCCACCCGAGCAGCCTCGCTTCGCCGCCCGCCCGTCGCCTCCAGTCCTCCCTCACCCTCTCCGCCCGCCGGGATGGAGCTGGAAGCCTCACTGGAGCAGTCGGTGCCTGGGGGCATGGCTTTAAAGTGGTGGCAGGACTTTAAAGTCCCGGCGCTGTCCGCCATAGAGCGGGTCCCGGTCCCCGCTCTATGGCAGATGTGGCGCCGGGGCTTCAGCGGGGCTTTCGCACTTGCCTCACCGGCCATGAAGCTCACCGCACATCACTGGAACTACATAAGACACTGCAAACTTGTCAGTTCTCTGGAGCGGTTCCCCAAGAGACACTGGTGCAAACTCGGGGGATGAGAGGAGAAATGGATGCATTCAGAGATGAGCAAGGAGTAGCAATGTCCAAAAATAAGACCAGGTCATGCAGTGTTGCTTAATGTCTGGAGAAGCCTTAATTTATGGAAGGGACAAGAGAAGTATCTAAATTTCCAGCAACCCTTAATGTTGTAAGCTACCTAGAGTCGCCTTGTGACGAGATCAGTGGCAAACAAATATAAATAAGCAAACCCTTATTCCCAGTCCTGAAATCAAAAACGGAACCTCTGATCTGTTTCCTGTCTCTCAGAGGAAGATTTGTCTTCAAATTTTTGCTTTCGCATTCTTTAGGCCTACGGAGGGAAAAATTCTCCTGATTCTTTGCGCCTGCTCTTCTTGTTGTGTTGCAGTTGGCAGCCTTGACCCATTTAACTCTCCGGTGGTTTAAAAATGCTGTTCCTCCCAGAGGACAGTAGGTGGCATTGACAATCTTTGCATCCCCAGGCCAAGGAGCAGAAAATTGAAATACAGCAGAAACAGAAGTGATACTGAGAGAAGGTGATTTGGTAAGAGACTGTGGTGCCTTTAAGGCAGGACATAAAGCGAGATTTGAACATAAGAGTGAACATGATATGGGGTCAGACTAGAAGATCTCCTGGGAGCCCCTTCTATCCCTTCTATCTCATTATACATTTTCTAGTCTTGAAGNCTCAGTCTCCAGCCCAGAAGGAGTGTTTTACCTGACTCTCCCTCACTTTGAAGACTAAGGTTTTTTTCTACAGGATTTTTTACAGGAGTTCTTCAGATTTTTTACTAGTTCTACAGGATTCTACAGACTACAGGAATTTTTGCAGGCTTTTTCACTAGATTACCTGAAAATCGCTTCACCCCTCCTTGCAGTGCTCAGCGTCGCTAGCCAAGCCATGTCGCCGGCTAGCATGATCCCAAGCGACCGAACGGTCGCGTAAGCGGGCAAAAGGCCGCATGGTACTTTTTGGAGGCTCCACACACCCAGGAGGATATCGGAGGACCGGGGATCCAGCAGATTCCTCCCCCAACGCTCTCAAGCTGCAGGAAATAGGGTCGCAGATCGGCGGCCGCCATCTTAGGAGCACGTGAGTGAGAGCGTGACTGGCGTTCCTTCTACGGATGCCGAAAGCACTCAGAAGAGCACTGCTGAAGCCGGAAGAGGCTTCAAAGGCCCCAACTCCGCTGGCTCTCCAGGGAGGGCCCAATCCAAGCAGTGCGCCGGCAGTTGGGCCGCAGATTGGCGGCAGGGAACGTTGGAGCGTGGAGCCTAGCAGTAAACGCGCCATACAAGCGAGGCCGGCCAGAAGAAAGGAGGCGGTGAGCGGCATAACCGTGAGTACAGTGGCGGAGGCAGCGAGGAGCGGGGGGTGCCAGGACTAGATCACATGTGGATTCGGGCTGCTGCCTGGTCCTCTCCCTCGCCTTTCATCAGGCATTACCGGTTAGATGCTTACGCCTCAGCTGAGGCGGCTTTTGGGAGGAGGGTTCTTCAGGGAGTCCTAGACTCTCGAGGGGCTCAGGCCCTATGATCCCTCCCAGGGACACCTAGCTTTGGTATGTTCCATGTATGACCCCTCCCATGCCTCACTTTGGAAACTGTCAGTTGGTCTTACCTGAACTGCATGTTTCGAAGAAGGCGTGGGAGGAGTCACTTCCCCCCCGTGTAGGGCGCACCACGCCAAGGGCCTGAGTTGTTCAGTGGTCAGTCAGGGCCAGGTAGGAAGGATGTGTGTGTGTGCTGTCTCTGTCCCTTCCTTCCAGGTGCTCTGCTACGAACCATTGGTTAATCTGGGAGGTCAGAAGGAGGAACGGAGGTGTGGCCTCAAGATTTACCTCAGTCTCCAGGGCAAAAGGGCTGTGGTAATACGCATGTATGATTCCTCCCACGCCACTGAGCCAAGGTGGCACAGTGGTTAAATGCAGCACTGCAGGCTACTGCTAGATCAGCAGGTCAGCGGTTCAAATCTCACCGGCTCAGGGTTGNATATTATGCTTCACTACTTATAATCTTGCAGACAGCATGAAAGGAAAGGAATCTGTTTGAGGCGTTTTTTTCTCTCTCTTGAAAATAGATGGTTGTTCACAGCAAGGGTTATAATCTGTAAATGCCCACATTTCAGGTTTTTCCAAAAATCGCCATCAATCTGTAATTTGAATATGAAGAAGGGAAAAGGGAACCAATGGAGAAAAACCATATTAGCTTTACCTACTGAATTTATATCCTACCTTTTGCTTGAGCAAGAATTCAAGGGGGCTAAGAAAATTAAAAACTGCTAATTTGAAAATATATGTGTACTTAAAAGCTAAATAGTCCTCGACTTATGACCATAGTAGAGTCCTTCTCCATGGTGAAAAGTTGTGACAATGGAAAACAGATTGGTCACGTAACTCAAGAGTTCCCCAACCTTTCTGGCTTTGTGGAACAATGGTGGGTGGAGGTGGAGAGGCAGTAGTAGGATGCAACCAGCTTAACAACCGGTTCAATGAGTACACGGGCCTAATGCGCTCAAATGTGCCCAAAATATAGCGATTTGAAGCTCAGTTGCTTACCTTCTAAGGCAGCATCAGTAGGTACAACAGTGGAGGCATGGAAATCAGCTGAACCAGAAAGAAGGAAATATAGGACAGGATAGCGCAGGTGAGCGGGGCCAACTGATCGTCACTACTAACAGTTTGTCTGAACCAGACCGAACCAGTAAAATGCCACCTCTAGGGGGAGGGGGTGGTTCCATGCGAGTGGCGGGCACATGTGCCCACTGTGCAGGCAAATGGAGCGTGTGCCTTCATTTGCCTATTGCTTGCTCAAGTGGGGATGTGCACGCTCGCTCGCCACTTCTGCGGCCCAGTTCTAAACAGCTCAAGGCCCCAGTAGTGGCCTGTGGCCCGGGAGTTGGGGACCCCTGATGTAACTGACTGGATTTTATGGCCTTGTTCGCGATGGTTTAAAAAGCTAGCAATTTTCTAAATAACGAGAGGGAGGGTGAGCGAACAAGTTTCTCAAGAGCAACATGGGTTGAGGTCTCTCCCAACAGAGAAGACACAAAGGAACAGCATGAAGTTCTTAATGGCCAATAGATTTGAGAGAAGAAGCGGGAAGCAGGTAGTAAAGCCGTCAGCCATTTAGGATTAACACCTTAAAAAGTGCTTAGGAAGCAACTGGCAGTTGTTGGTGTGGTGCTGCACACTATTCCAAAATTGAACACAGCCTGTGATTTGAAAAGGGGTTGTGCATTGATTTCTGAAATGGGGTTTTTTTTTTTTTAATTTTATCTTGTGCATTGTCAATTTGGGGTTCTAATCATCGTCGGCTCTCTTTTCCCTGAACCGCAGAATGGAATCGTTCCTATTGTGGAACCAGAAATCCTTCCCGATGGTGACCATGATCTCAAACGCTGCCAGTATGTGACAGAGAAGGTGAGGATGGAGCTCCTCTAATGGGGTACAGTGGGCATGGATGGGAAAGCCTTTTGCGTGCCTTGTAACTGGGAAAAGGAAGCTCCTAATGCAAGTGGGAATTCTTTTGACAATGGAAATCTTACAAATTATTTATATCTTCCCTTGATTTAACTCTATGGACAGGTTCTGGCTGCTGTGTACAAGGCCTTAAGTGACCATCATATCTACCTGGAGGGGACCCTGCTGAAACCAAACATGGTGACACCCGGCCATGCCTGTACCAGCAAGTACGCAGCTGAGGAAATTGCTTTTGCCACTGTGACTGCCCTACGCCGCACCGTCCCTCCAGCAGTGCCTGGTAAGAAAAATCAAACTTCCAATTTTCTGCCTGCTTCTAATCCCAAAGCGGGTTATATAGACACATGCGCAGCCATAGAAGATTACCGATGCACATTTGGGCTTCCTTGTTGCACTTTATAGCAACAAAGGTTATTAATATGTTAATTTCTTCATTCTGGGGGATCTTCGGTTGTGTTGGGACTCCGAAGCTGGAACTTTGGGAATTGCAGATCCTACACATCAAGAAAGCTGACCTGTGAGATTATTAATGACATTTTATACCACGCAAAGAATGGAAGTGGTTCGTTTGCTACTGGAGTCCTATAATAATGTGTTCCCCTTCAACTTCCCCATTTTGTCAAGGTGTACTCCATATATATATATAACTGGAACCATTTTCTTAAAGGGCCAATGTACACATTAATTTCTGAAGATAGAGAGTTTGAATTCTTTAATTTCTCTACCGTATTTCTCAGTGCTGAATTTCCCCCATGAAAGCAAGTCCTTAAAAATATTTTTTCATAGACCTTAAATCCATGTTTGGTTCTGCCTGGCTTACTCACATTCTTCTTTTGGTCACAGGAGTCACCTTCCTGTCTGGAGGTCAGAGTGAAGAAGAGGCTTCCATCAATTTGAATGCCATCAATAAGTGTCCTCTGCACAAGCCATGGGCCTTGACCTTCTCTTATGGCCGTGCCCTGCAAGCTTCTGCCCTCAAGGCCTGGGGTGGGAAGAAAGAAAACATGAAGAATGCTCAGGAGGAATACGTCAAGCGTGCTTTGGTATGTTTCATCGAACAAGGTTTAACAAGGGGTTGTCTTGATTGCTGAAAAGTACTTGGGTAATCCATGAATGAGAGAGTTAAAATTATTCAGTTTCCTCAAAAGTTAAGCATACAGAGTTTTAGACATACTTTTAAATTAAGATGAGGCAAGAAGATTAAGCAGAAAAAGCCAAATAGTGAAACAACTTTAGTGGGAATGATTTGTGATGTAAGAGTCCTGGTGGTGCAGTGCTTAGAATGCAGCATCGCAGATAAACTCTGCTCACAGCCTGGAGTTCGATCCTGACAGGCTCAAGGTTGACTCAGCCTTCCAAATTCGGAAAAATGAGGACGCTTGCGGGGGGGGGGGGGATATGCAAATAATCCTGATGTTGCAAACAGACCCGAGAGTGCAGTAAAGCATTATGGGGCAGTATATAAATCTAAGTGCTATAATAATAATTTAATATAATAATTGCTATATGATTCTGATGGTCACACTTAACCCAGGAGCCTTTTGGGGGAAAGAGGTTGAAAGTGGGAGGAGTGGTCTTGTATTTGCCAGCAATTCTGCCACAAAAGAGGTTTGTGGGAAAGTTCCTTGCAATTGTCTCAGGAAGAGAAAGGACTTTACTTTGATAGCTAGCCTCAGTTTCTGCTATGGCTGTCCATGAGCTCAGTAAGGCAGGGAAAGTGAAGCAATGTGCTGTTTTTACTTTTGACCTGGGACATGTCCTACTTCTTTCTCAATGACTTTTCCTCCCTTACAGGCCAACAGCCTTGCCTGCCAGGGCAAATATGTTTCATCTGGCCAAACGGGAGCAGCTGCCGCCGAGTCTCTCTTCGTCTCCAACCATGCTTATTAAAAATCAGAGGCTTGGTTACGTTGTCTGCTCTCTTGTTGCTATATTGTGCCTGGGCTACTGTGATGTCTGCTGACTGTTTTTTAACCTATTCCCCTTCTCCCCTCACCCTCCCCTGCCCCCTTTGCCAGCTTCTCTTGTAAGAGAAAGATGTAAATCTTTGTCTTGAAGTGAAAAACCTAGAAGTTCTGGTGTATTCTCTTCTCTCACGCATCCCCATCTTTGTATGTGAAACCCAGCTTCTTCTGGTGAACGACACTCCCGGTCTGCGGCCAAAACATCAAAATGTCTCCGGAGCAGGGACGCCTGACTTGCAGACCTCTTGAAATAAAAGTCTATTTAAACATTGCAAGTGCCTCTTTTTCTTGTCCCTCTGCAGAACTTGACCAAGGTGTCTGCTTTCTCCACTACCCCAGTGAGGAGCAGCCTTTTTCCAGTTAACAAAAAAATGAGTCCCGTCATTAGGTAGAAAGACCACTTAAGACCATTTGATTAATGGCAATTTGAAATTGCAACGTACTGAAAAAAATGAGTTGCAACCTGTCCTCACCCTTACAACCATCATGGCGTTCCCCACAGTTGCATGATCAAAATTTGAGTGCTTGGCAACTGGTGTGTATTTTGCCTCGTTGCAGCAATCTTGGGTCACATGATTGCCATTTTGTGACCTTCCCAGATATCTTCAATAGAGGAATCTAGGTTCGCTTAACAACTGCATAATCCAGTTAACAAGATGCAGTGATTCACATAACCATGACAAAAAAGTTCATAAAATTGGGTGCAACTTGCTTAACCGCCTTGCTTAACAAGGGAAATTCTGGTCCAAATTATAGTTATACGTTGATCACTAGTTGTAGGCTCTGGTTCTCAATTTCTTCGTTCAATTGTTTACGGTTATGGTTTCTCTGTCCCTCCATCCCCCCCACACCTTGAATTTCATATCTACTTCTGAAACAGCCTCTTGTTTAGGTTCCAAGGCCCAAGAGATTCTGAAGATCCTACCATCCTCTATTTCATTACTCCAATGGACTCTTATGCCCATGTGGAGTGGCTCTGCCATAGTGAATGATGGGAGGTGCTGCAGACACAGGATCACATGGGAATGGCGGATCCTTGCTTCAGTGATTAGTCATTTTGGCCATCTGCTTATAAGTCGGCTTCAAGCTTAATAAATCAAGCAATGGAGCATCTTTAACTCCTGAAGGAGGAGCTGAACAATGAACAAGCTGTTCATTGATTAATTGTTCTCACTGTCAGGAAGTTCCTCATTTCTCAAGCAGCAATGTGGGAATTTATAACCCTAGCATTAAAATTAAAGGTAAAGGGTACCCTGGCACATAAGTGCTAGTTGTTTTTGACTCTAGGAGGTGGTGCTGATCTCAGTTTCAAAGCGAAAGAGCCAGTGCTGTTCGAAGACTGACTACATGCCGGTCATGTGGCTGGCATGACTAAACTCCGAAGGCGCATGGAATGCTTTTACCTTCCCACCAAAGGTGATCCCCATTTTTCTACTTGCATTTTTACATGCTTTTGAACTGCTAGGTTGGCAGAAGCTAGGAAAAGTAATGGGAGCTCACTCCATTACACGGCGCTAAGGATTCGAACCGCTGAACTGCAGACCTTTTTTAAAAAAATAAAATTTATTTTTATTTTCAAAACAAACAACACATAAAATCTTCCTTCTTTACATACTGTAGAAAGTATCAGTTGGTTACAAAAGGTTTTCGTGCATCTCCTCCAGAGTCATCAAGCATAATTCATATTAACTCAAGTATTTAAATTCAGATATTTATACATGTTACCCTTATACCTCCATTTTTATTTGACTATAATTATTTAAACGTCCATCATAAAATATACCAANCTGGTTTAGGGTAGGCTGTCCTTTAAAAAAGTTTTAGGTAGGGATTAAGAAATTCAGGCAACTGGTGGGATGCTGTTACACTGAGAGCAGAGGGGAGCGGGCAGAGCCACCTGTCTCCTGTCATAAATCAAACAGCGGTGCTTCTCTCGCTTCTCTCACACCTCAGAGGCAAATATTTCTCAACCTTAGCAACTTTCAGATGTGTCTTCAACTCTCAATCTGAAAGTTGCTAAGAACTTTTGAGAAACACTAACCTAGTCACTGGGGCGTTAGATAAGTCACTAGGAGTGCTGCTTTGCACCTTGGCAAATACTTCTTTGCATTCTCTTATCTTCCATTTGTTGTTTCCTTTAACAACTGAACTCACCCAGAAGAATAGGCAGCACTGTTGCAAGACTACTCAGCAGTTGTACCTTGATGTTAATAATCTGCCTGAAAACTTCTAGGAATGTTTACATTTATGTATGATCCTTACCCAGAAAATTAGTAGGCCTTTCTACTGAATGTTTCACCTTGAATATCCAACAAGCAAATTGGGAAGATGCATTAGAGTCATGAGCGCGATTGTGTTCATGCAATTCAGAAATGGATTGTACCTAAGGCTTCTTTAAGTACAACCAACATCACCCTCCCCAACACACCTGATTCCTAAAATAAATTCAGATAAATTCATTCTTTGCTTTTGAGCAAGCAGAAAGTATTTTGCCACTCGCTGTATTTCTTCAAACAATAAACATAGATTTTGAGAAGAAACTGATTGAGATTAAGGTAGTATTCAAACTCAAGATGCGTTCCTTTTTAAAATACTATTTAAAGCTCAATAGATGATAAAAGCTTGACTGTATTTATCAGTCATGGACTGTGGCCATGTAACTGTAACCATGTTTTGTGGAATTAACGTAATATATTGTCTTCACACCACTTACTAATAACTATCTTATCAGGAGCTGCATTGGTGCAACCCAGGAAGGTATTATATATAACTATTATATATTTACTCCTTCATTTGCCAGTCCTAGGTTCTTGGAATTAACACTGCTAGATTGGCACAGAACATGCCACTTAAGTTTATCTTTAAAAAAAAAAAACCTAACTCCATGGTCTCAAGCTGCTGATCCCCTGACTCCTTGCATTAAAGCAGTGTTTCTCAAACTTGGCAACTTTAAGACAGGTGGATTTCGATTCCCAGAAGTCCCCAGCCCAAAATTTTCCTACTGTTCAAGAATCCTTCCATCTGACCTTGCCCCTATCTATAATGTTGATCCTGAAGATAAAAACCACCATGCAGGCAGCACTGGACCAAAGGCTTGCCCTAAGGGCCAGCATCTATTTCCATTGTGGCTCATCCATACCAGAGGAAGGTTAACAAACAGAAGAAACGGGGGGGGGGGGGCAGCCTTGTCCCCATCCATCTTCCCTGACCACTGGCACCAAGGAAGCTACGCTGCCTTTGCTGTATTTTGTGTCAGGAAGTTCCCCCACTTAGGGGCTCTTTGGAACATCTGGTGATTCCAAATTCCAACTGAAGTGCTTCAGCTTTGCAAGGCTTGGGCAGATGTGGCAGGCACCCAAAATTTTAGGATTTTTCCGCCCAGGTCTATTCATTGGGAGCCTCTTTTCTTCACGCTCCTGCTTCCCTCTTATCACTTCCATGGCGTTTTGCTATCTTTAAGTCCATATATGCCCAGGTCATTCTTTTTGGTAGCTGAGATCCAGCACTCATAGATGGGCCAGGGTGTGGTAGGGCAAGATCCAGAAATAGTCCTGTGTCCTTCAGGAAGGACAGAAGCTGTGCAAGGAAGAGCGATCGGGTTTCCCCTTGAAAGGTCAGTACTGAAATTGAAGTTGGAGAGGATATTAAGGAGAAACGGCGGGGGGGGGGGCAACCCTACCACCAATTTGATGTAACTTCAGCAGTTGGTTTTTTTTTTTAATTCCTTCATGCTCTTTAACTGCCCTTCCATACCACTACAAAAGGGTAATGGAAGAGAGACGGTGGCTATATCTTTTTCACCGCCCCGATACTGTGTCTGGAGATTCCAACCTAGGTTTTCCCTTGCCGTTAGATTGCCATTAGAAAACCACATCTTATCGATTGTGTAATTTTACTGCTTAGATTATGCAGCAGTAACCTTTTTCCCCTTCTTTTTTGCACAATCACGGCCAAGACGTACAAATGATATACCCTGCCTTTTTTTCCGTGCGCGACTCAACAGAGCCATCCGCCCACGCTACGCTTCGTTTCCTTGTGTGGTTTAAAAAAAACCAGAGTTTAGCCTGGTTCAGCTGAACCGGTAGGGATGATTGTCCTTGGTTCTGCAAACCTTAAAAAAAAAAAAAAAAAAAACTTCGTCGTGATTCAGGGAAAGAACTCGGCCCCTTTAAGTCTCTTCCCTCTCCCCCTCCCCCCTTAATGAGTCAACTTCTCACCCTTTTCCGCCTAAGTTACGTGACGTTCGATTTTGGAACGTTGGGGCGCTCTGCGTTCGATTCGAGCTCCTCACTCGGATTTCGGGCGCCGTAGCCATCTGTAGCTTCTGCTGCTGCTTCCCCGCGCGCACGCGTTGGTACTTTTCCGAAGGAGGAGACCGGTGAGCCATCTTGATTTGGAAGGTGTGTGGGGCGGGGGGNCATCTTCTGCTTGCAACCTTCCCTGTCAGCTTCCCCCCTGACTTTCTAGGGAAACCAGCAGAGAAAATAGAAAATGGGGAGTGCAACATTTTTACATTTCACCCTGGCCATTTTACAATGGCCAGAAGTCCTTTATGGGCCTTAAAAGCACACATTTGAAGGCTGTTAGTTAAATCTGTAACATATATGGGCAATAGAGGGCAAGCAATTTGACATACTAAAGTAAATGCTTAATAGTCAACATTACAACCCAGACTTTACACAGGGAGGGGGATGTAAACTGGAGAGTTACATTAGTGGACGGTCAGGCATAGCACAGTGATCAGTTTGATAGGCATGTGTCAAGATATGCAAGTTATTTAAGCACAATGTTACAATGGTAACACATGAAAAAGGGTTAAATCCAGGAAATCTTCTCTGGTACTCACTCAGCAGCTGAAAATACAGGGAGTTACCTAGATGACCCTACACCAAAGGTGCCAGGTTTTGACCTTCCTCACCAGCATTGGTCAACTCTGAATAGGATCCGTACCCAACATGGTGTCTTCCTGGACTCGTGGTTTAAGTGGGATTTTGTCTCTACCCCTCAGTGTGACTGTGGTGCTCCTTGACAAAATATCCATCACATCATGTCCGAATGTCCATCAAGAACTTACACAGAGCCACAATGTCTGATTTTTTCAGCATAGACCACCCTGTCCTTGAATGGCTGGGTGGACTGGACATTAACATTTGAACTACTATGTCCATGTATTTGCCATACGCTAAATACAATTAAACATGAGAAAGCATTAATATTTATTATTAATGGCTACAATGGGAAATTAAGATGACTTTACTGTTCCTGTTTGCAG